TCCAGTTCTCTCTTTGCTTCTCTTCTCTTTACATTTCTTTCTTTCACGTTTGCAACTTCTGCCTTTTGCAGTTACAGGGATTGTGGAGTTTCACTGCTCTTATCCAAAACGTTTTGCTCCGTGGACCCCTTGAAACCGAATTCTTCCTCGCTCCATCTGTCTCATACACAACAGCCTTTCTTCATTTCTAGCCCCGCTCTATTCTTGAAGAGTCATTTTACCGTGGCCAAGCAGGCTTTGCAGGCTTGCAGTGCGCTCTGTCACTTGGGAGCAGCATCACGTGTATACCCGCCTCTTTCCGCTCCTGGTTCGCACACAAAGCAGGGTGGGGACATGTGAGGCAGGTCTTCCCTCCTCCTCCTCATCCTCTGTAGCCTAACCTTGTCTAAACGGACCAATGTGTTTCTGTGCTCTTTTATTAGATCACGTATTCGCATCCCCCCACCCGAACACTGACATCTTTTGTCTCTGCCCGTGTAATACTTTGAAGTTCGACATTCCTCTCCCACTGCATCACTGGGGCAACACAGCTGCGCGAGGCAGAGCCGAGGAAAGCAACGCTCCAGGTGAGACGAGGCGAGTGAGCAAACGATGAAGAGGTAAGAGGAAAAAAATGTGAGATGCAGTAAGACTGTGTGTCTGTCAAATTCTGAATGAGTTTGTGTGTCTTTCTGTGTGTGTCGTGCAATAATCATATTTTTACCCAGCCAGAGAAAAAACCACAAGTGGAGCCGCAAGTTCCCCTGCTGGGAAACCACAAACCCCAAGATCATGATGACACCAACCTTTTAACCCAGACATCATCCTTAAAAACCCTCAGCCCCACCCTAACACACAAACAGACACACACATCTCCCTGCTCTGCTGTGACCGCTGTGATGTCTCCGTATGAACATAAAGTGTGACAGTCAGCGATGCACTCAAACAAGTTTGCACTCAAATTTCTGAAATTCTTCCTCTACGTCAGGACTTTGACTTTCCGGTCATCGTGATTAAACTGAGCAATCAGAGCGGTCATGATCCTGCATCCTGTCTCTTTATTGAAGACACAGGATGCATAAACACTTATTCCTTCTCATCATGTATGGCACATGTGCAAACACTTTATTAAGGTTAGTATTCACTGTCCTAGTCTTACCCAGTGCTCTGAAAGTGGTCTGCTGGCAGCTTAGCTCTAACTCTCTGAGCTGAACATCGGCCTGAAGCATAACTCAACCGGGTCTCTAGGAGGTCTCTAACGTCCCTCCTCTCTCATTCCTTCTGTGACCCAGAAATCGCTCTCGGCACACAGTAGGCACCATAATAGGCACAGACAGAGATGAGAACAGGCCTGTTGGTGGACAGGTCTCCTCACCTGTGACGTGTATGCCTCAATTAATCTGAATACAAATGAACACCTTAAAGTTTAATTGATAGGAATCATAAAAAACTGCAGCAGCTCTGCCACGAACAACCTTTTAAACTGATGCTTTAAAATTACAGCTCTGTAGCAAGAGCATCTCCTTTACTTAAATACCTGTTGCCTTGAAGTCCCGCACTCATATCCAAGATAAGAGGACGAGGATGAGTCGAGGATGTGCCAACCGAGAGGTTAGAAGAGGAGCAAACAGCTCATAAAAGTCTGTTTTTCTTCTTTTCCTCCTATTCTGACATGTTTCAAATCATCAGATGTTATTATGAGCCATACGTTTGTGTTCTGAAGAGCACTTGGGTTGTACAGGAGGACAGCGATGTGAAATACTAGTCAAAGACTTCAGTGGGACCTCTAACAGGACCAGAGTGGCTGAACTAAAACAGCTCTGCAAAACCGAGTGGGGCCAAAATTCCTCCACAGTGATGTGAAAGACTCGCTGCCAGCAAACGCTTGATTGTAGTTCTTGCTGCCAAGAGTGGCACAACCAGTTATTAGGTTTGGGGGGGTCAATTACTTTTCCACACAGAGCCAGGTAGGTTTGGATCGTTTTGTTTCTCTTTAAGAAATAAAGTCATCATTTAAAAATGCATTTTTGTGTCTATTCGGGTTATTTATGTCAAATATTAATATTAGTTTGATGGTTTGAAACCTAGAAATGTCACAAACATGCTTTTTCACTGTGTGTGCCTGCAGGAACCTCTGAACTAATATGTTTTAGATGATAATGGGAATTTAAACTTTGTGAATGTTAACTGTTAGTTACCCAGTCGTAGCTTTGGTAAGATACTCGTCCTGCGTGTGCACCAGGTTACCTCTATGGGCAGCAGTGCAGCAGGAAAGTGATTTGGCTCGGTTACGGCTCTCCTGGATTAAAGAGGATCTAAAAGCCTCCATCACGCACTGGTGGTGTTTTGTGGTTCTTTCTTTTAGCACTGGGAGAGAATTCAGCTAGTACACGAGTGCAGGTGAAACACAGTCATAGAGACACTGCTGAGTCTGTGAGTGACGATCAAAGCCGACATAGACGTGGACTCTGTGAGGTGTGGGAACTGAAGCGTACGCGGGCTTTATGTGTGCGTGTGCAGAGCGATGTTCATGTGAGGACAATCCAAACATCATCTGGTTCCTGTACTGGCTTGTCATCTCTCATACAAGAGGAACCCCGAGCTCAGCTCTACACCAGCGGCCGATCTCCCACATTCCTGCTGGTTCGGAGCCAGACGATGATGTAGTCTGGTCCGTGTGAAACAAATGGCTTTCTATTGTCAGCGTGAGCCCATGTAGTCACCACAACGCCGACCACGAGTCTCACAGGGACCATTTTTCAAGGAGTAATAATAAACCTGAAAGCTTCTTTTACCTTCTTATCTTGTAATGTGCAAGTGTTGAGCTGAACATCGACCTCCACTGGAAACATCAGTGCACACCATTCGTTGGTCTTTCCATTCGACTGCTCCTGCAGCCGTGCATTGTTACCTTTGGTCCACACATGGTAGGCCTGTGTGAGGGCGTGTTTACACATGTGTGCAAATGTACGTGTGGAAAGTGACAGAGAGCGAGTACAGAGGGGGGGGCAGTAAAAGTATGTCCCTGCTCCAAAAGTACAATGCACTCCAGACAGTGGTGTGTTTTCACTATAGCCAGATCAATGCTGGGCAAAATGTGGTCCTGTTTAGAGGGTGGAGGCACACACACACACAATGAGCTTAATGCTCCTTGAGGGTCTTTGTTTCTAGTCGTCCCAGTCTTTCATTGTGTCAGTGTGAGACTGTGAGACTCCCCGAGAGCTCCTGCAGCACACTGCAAATCATCCTGGGTAACTCTGCTGCATGTCAAAAGCTGGTCCCACAGCATGCTGCATGTTCCCAACTAGAACGTCCTGCCATGTCCAACAGCATGAAGCAACTATGTGGAAGATGGCGTGTCTATTTCAGCCTCCAAGGAGAGAAAACGGCAACGCTGAGATCCAATTTAAGGGAATATGGCTTAATACTTTCATTGCTGTTTGGCGTTTGGTGCCAAGAGCACACAAAGTCTACCAGTGAACACGATGTGGAAATAAGTAACAATAAAATTTAAATACATCCCGTGATAATCACAAGTGGTTTTACATCATCTCTTCTCCGGAAATCCTCACCGCCAGCATTCAGTTTGGCAAATTTAGATCATGCCGTGTCCTGCAGAGACAAAAAAGGATCGCGCACATGGTCGTAATTATCCAGCTTTGTTAATGTTCTCCTCGAAAACGGGCCGAAGATGTTACCACAAAGCTCCTTTGTCAGGCTTCAAGTGGAGGATGTTTGGGGAAATAAAAAGCATTTCCAGGTACCAGGTGTTGTGTAAAAATACCATTTCTGACGCATACCAAACCGATGTGCGAACAGCCAGGAGACAAAGTGTCCCCTGTAAATACCCCATCGGCTCGTTCTCCTCCAAAGAGTTTGAGGTCATTGGAGGGCTTAGTGGTGCTGGTCACGTGGCAAAGGAGCATTTATACCAGTATTCAGAAACATTAGTGGTTCCATTAAACCACACGGTGCTTCTTTTAACTGATAGCTCTCCAAACAGGGTCAGGATATTCAGATGACTCGGAGGTGCCGTAATGCACCATGAAAGCCGTAACTCTTCACTGCCAATGTTTTTATCTGCACGTCAAAAGTTTAAAAGTTGGTTAAAAGTTGGTTCTCAGTCATCTGGGACACGTCGTCTCAGCTGCTTAAGAAGAAGGCAGCTGGTTCGTGACCACGTTTCTCCGACCATCCAAGACGAGAAACGTTTTCGAGGAACCTAAAGAAGATTATTTTAAACTCAAGCACACCTCGCTTCCTTTATTATCTTTGCACATGCAGGCAAATTGGTCGGACACTGGCCTGAGCTCACTGACAGTGCAACTGCAATCACACCTTTCTCCTTAGCAGTGAATTAGCTATGAAAATCCAACTGACTGCTGTGTTTAAGCCAAGCTGAATCTTCATTTTCATGAGACTTTGTTTTAAAAACGTCTCCTTTGTAGAGCTGCCCTGAACCAGTTCAGCTCTGAGACCTGCTCAGCTGTCCTGACCAATATAACCAACCATGAATGCTAACTTACCAACACTTGTGGCAATAAAGGATGTGTCAGCCACCGGCAGGCAGTAAACAGATAAATCTGTTTGAACAGCAAGTGCACACTTGAAACACTTGCTTTATACTTAGATGTAAATGAAAATGAATGGTCTGTGATCAGAGCCACGTTTTTAAAACTTTATATCTACAACAACCTAATCTCAGTATTTTAAGCTCTGATCACCAACATCATTAGAAACCATTTGGCAGGTTTGCTCTGTCTCCACTGCCTGATGTTGTGATTCGTTCGGCATCCAAGAATATTTCCTTTGAGGAGCTCTTATCTCATCACTCGGTTTAGCCTGAAGGGGAGTTTTGTGCTCGGTGATGATAGTGGAGCTATGTCAGCCACAGTGTGGAGGTTTAGCTACTTGGCACCTGTTATAACAACTCTAGGAGTCTTGAGGAATGTGGGTTTGTCCTGCAGTCCGTTACTACCCCCCTCTCGCCCAGTGTCTGCCTCACTCTGTGTCCCCTCCCCTCTCCCAAACAGGGCAATTCCCTAACTTTTCTCTTTTTCTCACAAGGCTATAGTTCAATATTCCATTCGGGGGCACATATCCTGTCTCGAATTCCGACGGGGCTCCTCGACGCCAAAGCGCTCCAACTGCTGCAAGGTATTAGTACCTCTTGACAACACTAAAATGTGCTTATCAATGGCTCTGACCATTCTTCCAGCAGCCCGTTGTTATCTCTTTATATGCATGGCTGCCATCTGAAGATGCACAAAGGTAGATGGAAAAATCTAAGAACGCTAACGGATGAAGCGCGGATGCTGCACTTTTCTCTCTAACCGGCTTTTTGGTGTTAAAACGGGCTCGTCGCGTTTTGCAGATAATGCGTTGCTCGCCTTGTTTGAGTTTTAGTGTGGTTTCTTGGAGCGTAAAGCGGAATGAAGAGCGCACTCACCTATTTTCCATCTGTTGTGTTTCAACTAGTCGGAGTTGATGTTGCGTTTTTCTCCATTCATAAAGTCGTGGTGCAGATCTCTTTTCCGCGCGTCACTATCGTGGAAACTCTTATGTGCTTTTCTTGGTCCGCTTGCAGCAGATGTCTTGAATGGCTGGTTTGCACTTTTTAAGAGTTGGACTGAACCAGACACACTTGTGCACAGCCTGCTCCAAATTCTCTGCGCTTCCGTGCAGTGGATTATCAGCAGGCTTAAATGTACTTGTAATGTTGCACCTTACGTAATTAATAACTGTTTAGGTGGAAAAGAGTGTAAACTGTGCTTGGTGTGATTTTATCTCTAAGCAAACAGGCTCGTTTTGTGCCGCGTTAAAGGGCATGTTTGGCACCAGCGGTCCGACGATTAAACGATAATCGTGACGGATGCTTTACCTGCTTTATTTTGACAGCACACTCGGAGAAGTGCTCGGCAGAGCTCGCTCTCCGTAATTGATCACGCATTTCTTTTGTTCGGCTCTGATCCCGCCTCCACACTCAGCTGCAGGGAGCGCAACATTTCGGTTTTCGAGGGATTTTTATTTGAATCAGTGTTTAGAACAAAAAGCGACGATTAAAAAAGGACGTCGCGTAAAAGTTGCGCCAGATTCATGTTTGGACGCGCTCCATTTTTTTTGCCTTAAAGAAATGTGAAATATAGTATAATAGTGGAGAATTATGTTCACATTTCTTTTTTCCTCAACATCCATCTCTTCCTGCCGGGTTTGCCAGCTTCCTCTCCCCGTGTCTGAGTTCACGGCTCATCCATCTCTAAGGATGTGGGGCCATATTTCTCCTGTGTTCCGTGTCCAGCTATGTGATGCGGTTGGACACTGGGCTTGCTGAGGTTGTATATCACAGGGGGCCCAGAGTTCCCCGTTAAACCCGTAGTCTGTGAGGAGTAAAGAATGAGCCTCATGGCTGTCTGACGCCCTTAAGACTGAGCTGCACAGTTACAGTTAGAAACCAAGGCTCCATAAATCACTCGATGAACACTGTATGAGTGAATAAATGGCTGATTGTTCTTTGTTACTGACCAGTTTTCTTTCTGGTTGTGAAATGATCATCTGACACTGTACAGACTATCTAACCCTCAACTCCTGCTTTTCTACCAGCAGCCGCTCGTCCTGCTCTCTGGCTCCCTCTGGTCTGACGGCAGCCATTTGGACCAGTAGGTGTGTGAATGAAATCACAGCAGAAGTGCTTCAGTAGCTGTTAGATTTATGTTCTCAGCAATAAAGTTGAGCTAAAGCTAAAGATAATATGTGTAAACGACACACTATCCTTTAAGGGGCAGCAGTGTAAAAGCTTCTTCTTTGTCCCAAAGGGCAAAAATAACCTCCCCTTCACTTTGTTTTAATTTTAATAAGTAAAATCTTTATTATCCTTTTTAATGTCAGTAAACAACACTGAACGCTGTATGTTTGACACACAGCGTGTTTCTCTAATCGGTTTATGACCTCTTTCCCAGTTTTTGCAGTTTTCTGTGTCTGTTGAGTGATAAACTTGTTACAAGAAGGCTTTGAAGTGCAGTATACTGAAAACAGATCAAGTCAGAATTTAAGTCTCTCTTCTCTTTCCTTGCATCTCCTCAAATCACATGTTTTCTATTGTCTTACTGTAACCGCCCAGCATCTCAAAGGAAAGAAGAAAATCAAATGCAAAGTGTTTTGCATCGGAGTATATCGTGCTCTCTTCACAGTGGTCAGAAATCTATGATGGCATCATTTATTTGATCTGCTCGTTACACAGGGCAGACGTGGAGCTTTAACGATATATCAACTCAATTAATTAACTAGCAAAGTTATCATCATCAATAAGATACCATAAATAGTTTATTGTAACAACATTACAGAGTGTTTGAAATTCAGATATCAAGCAGAGAAGTTGACGTGGTGTTAAACTCTCCTCATCCAAAGCTTTGCGAGGTGTAAATGTGAGGCTGTTACACTAAGATTAACAGCAGCTCTACACCATCGTCACGCCCACCAGCACCTAACCCGACATGCACCTCCCCCCGAAGTGTAACTGCACATGACGCACAGGTGTCAGTGCCACTGTTCAACCTGTCAGTTTATCCTCGAAGCATAAATCTACTGTCTTCCTTGGCGTGAACCTCTTGGGATGTAACTTGGTGCTCTCAGAAGACCCAGACAGGGAAGCTTGTACGAGCAGCTCTGTAAGATCAAGATGTCGCCTGAAAGTTCAAACGAGGAACAGATAAAACAGCTAAAATGTAAAATATTT